ATTTTTATAATTTAGAGCTTTATCTTTTCTTTGTTAGTAATTCTTCCTGTCTGAATATCACTGTTCACCTTAAGCAAAATAGAGATTATATTATCACTGTGAGATAATAAAAAAGTCTCTGCGTTATTGCGGTCAATACCTGTAATAAATGTAAAATTTGACATTCTAATGGGTAGCAGAAAGGTCCCTTTCTCTTTACCCCCACTTCTTCCATCTAAAGTAAGTATTTCATATCATTGCTATTAATAGCAACTCAGAGTAACACATTTGTACAAAGACAGGAATACGGCAGCATCTGAAAAACAAGCTGTCCCAGGTCATCGTAACTGAACCACCAGAGTAATGTTTAGAAAATCTGTACGAGCAAAAGAAGCTCATGGAAAGCCTTGGAATTAGGTCTTTTGACTACAAGACTTCCAAAAACTTTTTCTGCTACTTGCCTATGTAATTGTGTCGTTCATGGTGGTGTGATCTTTCAACAAAAGTTGCAAGATCTTACAAAGGTGTATGAAACCCCAGAGGAACGGGGCAGCTGCTTTCACCAGGCACTTCTGAAGCTCCACCAAGACCTACTGTACCACATTCTCTACATGTGCCTGAGACACGTGAGATCTGCCTGCCCTGGCAGTCCTGGTGAATACCGAGATAAAGCTTTCCACAGCTGACAGCCCACAGGATGGAAAAATTCCACCATTTCCTCTCTTTGACTAGGAAATGACTGGAATGACTCAGCTCTCTTAGTTGGTGTAGCAAGCGTGACCTTTTTAAAGAAGACTGCCGTATGGAGCTTTTTCGCCTCTACTTTCTCCAATTTTCCTTTACTCGAGAATGACCAGCTTCAAAGAAAAAGTTCACCGCTCTAATTGAATATTCTCCATATTGAGAGGGGTAAAAATAAACATTCTTCTCGGTTTATTCACGCATAAACTAGAATCATCCAAGTGTGACATCTGAAAGGAACTACATGATTATAATCTGAAATGAGAACAAAGTTCATCTTGTGCGATTTCTTATTTTTCCCCTGCAGACTTTGAAAGAGGAAAGAGATTGCAGAATCTTAATACCCATTAAAGCTCAAGAAAGCCCAGCCTGTGCGCTCCTGTGTTAACCTTTTTAGTATTCTGCTGGCTAATTGTCTGTCCGTTCCACCTTCTCCTCCCAGGTTAATGGGGTGGTTAACAGTGGAGGACAGGAATGGTTGGCCAATCTCACTACAAAGCAAACTGAAAAGGTCAAAGTAACGTGCTGTGTTATTCATGGACTATGCGTTGCTGAGGTATCTTAGATCTCATGTCTTCTCGTGATGAATTGCAGCAAGAACAAGAAACAGCCCAATGTGAAATTGGCTCTTGTGACAATGATTGTAGTTCAAATGGAAAAATGTAAAACTGTGGCCTCCTGCTGTTCTGGGTTTTGGGATTAAAGATGTGTGATCCCACCTAGCCACTGAATAAGCAACAGGTTACGTTTCTGCAACTTCTCAGCTGGGTTGTAAGTATAACGCAGTGTGTATGTATACAGATTCTTCTAATTTCAGCCATGGAGTTTGTTTCGGAAGTACTGTGTGGTGCCTAATATCCCTCCTGTGTCTTCTGTGTCAATAAACTCATGATTAGTTTATAGATTTCTTAATATGAGACTCCTTTTTAAGTGGTGTTTTGTTTAGAAGTATTAATATGCTAATTGCTAAGAGGCCACCTAGAGTGGACTGTAAGACAGTCCTTGTTCTCAGGAGTTTGCAATCTGTATAGTCAAATTCGAATGAAGACTTGATGTAACCATTCTTTTCTCCTTCACCTTTGATGTGTAACAGAGGGAGAGGGAGATAATTGCAGAGGCAGGAGTGTGCCTGAGGTGCTCCAAATTATTTTCTGAGTACTGCCCCTCTCATTGCCTACAGAGGGAGATTAGCAGCAGCAGACTACTCATATAATCCCCCGCAGTGGATGCCATTGGTGCGTTCGTCCCTAACACTGGATGTCAGCATCTCTCGATGAGACGAGCGCATCCCATCATCTTCCTCTGGTGATGTGTTTAATTTAATACTTTAGCTGTAGACCCATTCTCCATCACTTTGAATCACAACTGTTTATTTGCCAGGTGTTTTTACCATACCCCTTTGACAGAAGAGACTTCACAAATAGCGAAAGAGAGAAGTATTTTTTTTCAGCCCAAGCACTGTCTGGTCTACCTTCCCTGAGTGGTAATTAGTGTTGTAACCCAACAGTAAACATACACCTGACACCTGAAGGAGCTGACTGTGCTTGTGCTCAATGTCCCTTCCAGGGCTTAGTACAGAAGTTCTGGCTTTTACAAGGAAGCAAGGACTGCAACAGCAAGCAGGAGAGTTACGAGGCAGTCTTAGGGGAGAGGGTATTTATACCTTTTTTTTCCAACCCCCCTTTCTTTAAATCGGTGTAGTGTTCTTTGCTTTTTTCATTGAGTGGTTTCAACTGACATCAGTTGCCTGGGGCCAGTGAACCGAGCTGTCAACAGATAAATCATTTCTGTGACCAAAAAAAAAAAATCTCTGATGGAGGGAAACAAACCCCCATCATTCATTTGGAAACTAGTCTTTGAAAGAGAAGTGACCTGAAAGTGAAACTCTTGGGGAGTGGTCTCAGATGTGTCCTTGTCTGTGGGACTAAAATAGCGACAGCAACCATGGGCTAGGCTGTTTTTAACGTGCCCTTAACAAAAAGGAGGATGAGGAATGGAGTCCAACTTGTAATCATATTTCCTGAGTGAGAGGAGCCATGGTATATGTCATCACCTATAGAAATTGCCAGCTAAGAGGCCAGAGAATCATTATAACAGTTTGCAATTTCTTCAAAACGTTAGTTATTATAATATCTTTAAACTTTTGTAGGTGATCCTAGAAACTATTCTGCATGCAGCAAGCATCAGAAATACCACCCCCCCCCCCCCCCTTCCCCAGCCAAAACGTAGTATTTTCATGGAGTAAAGTTGACTCTCAACGAGTCCTGAATAAAACACTATGCAGATTTGGGCCCCAGGATCTGTGCACTACAGATGGTTATTTTTGGAAAACATCAATGCCCTTCTCCACGACGGAGGCTCCTTTCACGTTTGCTTTATGGTGTTTCATAGCTGACTTCATCTGACAACTGCTTTAGTCTGTGGCTTTCTGGAGGCTAAAGGGCGCTGTAGCCAGGTGTTGGCCTAGATGTTTCCGACACCTCACAGATTGATTTGGGCTACGGCTTTTCTTTCTCAGCGACGTATTGATCTGCAGCGTAAGACAGGTTTTCCGCCCTACCTGGCATCTGAAAAGCGAAATGTCACATCTTGTCTCGGATCTGGATCTCTCGCAAAGGTCCGCGGTGAGACTGGTGCATCTTTCTCACCGCGCTCAGATCGACTCATTCACGTTGCACACACAACTGCTTTTCCCGGGCAATGTTGCTTTTTTGTTCCCAAAGACCACCTGTTTTCAGTGCGCTTTGTTCTTTTTCATCATTCTAGGTAAAAATACCTGATTTCGCATTAATATTGCAGAATTGTAAGCCAGCTTGCATCAAATTAAGAGTATTTGCTGAAGAGCCTCATGATTTACCAAACTGTGTGTTGACTGTGACTTGCTGATCCGTGGGGAGCAGTCTTTCTGATTTAGTGTGTGTCTGCTCATCAAAGATGGATGATTGCCACTATGTGTCATAAAACTTCATCTGACAAAACCAACCCCATAGCAAAATAATGCCATCTCCAAAGGGCAATAATTCTTCATTTCTCTGTCCCACATGTTTAAGGAGCTCACGCTAGCTCAGATTTTCTCAGAAAGATTTCTTTATACTTATTCTGTTAACAATGAACAAAGGACCATCAAAGCTTTTGCCAGTTCTTTCTTAGTTTTCAAAAACCTTTTATGAGAGCCTAGAAAGTCGGTCTCTAGCAGCTAAAACTCTGTAGGATTTAGACTTCTATCTGTGATAAATAGATAGTGGGAATTAAGTGGCTAAATGCCTTTGAGGTCCTGGGTTTTTAATTAAATCTTAGGGCTGGGGGTGGATTTTTCCTTTCTTTCTATGTTTTTGTTTTAAAGTTACCCCAGAATGAGAGAATGTAATGAACAGAATGCTGTTTTTATAGGGTGAGGTTATTTTCTTAGCAAATAAACACAGTGAACAGAAAGGGAATGCCAGCCTCGGAAGAGACTGAGCCCGTCAGCTGCGGATGCCCGTCAAACATCGTCTGATAAGGTGATCTCCACAGAAAAGTAGGTGGGTTGCTTTACTCGCTGATGACAGGTCTCCGGGGCTTTGGGAACCTGTGCTCCCTTGAGGACCAAAGCTATATAAGATGTGTCTACACAAGAGACTGCTGCATAGGAGTGCAAGACACGGTGGTGGTTCTTAACCAAGAAATGTGCACTGTAGAAGGCAGGTGCAGTTATCCTCTTCCCTGAAGTGTTTGTGCATTAAAAAAAAAAACAAAAACCAACAACCCAATTAACATCTATCGGTGGAAAAATCATCTTTGGGGCACAGGCGAGAGTGAAGGACTTCACATTCTTAAGCACAGGGAAACAGCTGGGCACCTTTTAAAATTTTCTGTCTCTTCTCATAGTGCTGTGTTTCTTGCACTTCCCGCAGCCTGAAGATGCAGAATGCCACTCTTTCACCTATAGATTGTACCAATACCTGTATTGTATGGAATTAACCAGGAAAGAAGGCAAGGTGAGGCTGAATTCTTCTTAGCTGAGGATCCCTGTTTTCAGTGCTTCTTGGGCGATAATTAAGCCAGCAGGATTTTATAGAGTTTGGATGCAGAATATTCTCAGAGCAGAAAATACAGGCCCCTTTTTGCCTGGCTGTTACCACTTAAATAAACAAGGCAATTTAAAATAAGCATTTCACAGACATTTATTCCAGACAGTTAAGACTAATGAAGTGCAGGAGTGTCTCGCTAAAGATACCCCACAGTGAGGGGAAGGCTCGTTAAGTGGAAAGGTGGCTTTTGTTGAACTATCTATCAAATATCTACAGTTTTAATTTTCTTGTTCACTGTGTGGCCATGTCTTTAGGGCTGGGAAGGGGCAGTTTCGTATTTCCTAGGCTTTAATGTTGCTGCATACTTTGAATCCTCTTCATTTTCATTTTTTCCGTCCTAGCTGTTCTCAACCTTTTGTTCTTTAAGTAATTGTCTTCTACTTGGTATAAGTAGTCTTCAATTAGTCCAATCTGCAATTATAAAGAAGTGGTGTCAGAAACATTTCCCTTCCCCCTATGAAAACTTTAAAAACTTTTGTAATTAGTTTATTTCAAAACTAATTGTCATTATAAAGAAAACCACATGAAGGCACCTCTCATACAATTGGCTGGAGTGGCGGTACCTGATTTCATAATTTATTTTTTTTGTCCCTTTCCATTTGGATTCAATTACTTTACTGCTGTGGAATAGACTCTTTCATTGAAACCTGTACATTGAAAACAGGAATTTATCACAACTCTGTCTTTAAATGGCATTGAAAAACAGCCACTTTAAAAGGACAGGATGATGAGGAAATTAATCTCAGGCAAGTTTTTCTTGATAAGGAAAGAGAACAGAAGCTTCTGGCATTTATATGCCAAAAATCAACACATGGAGAAAAATGAGTATTCCACATTGCTGTGGCAAGAACCATTTTTCTATTAAATCAAAATGAAGTTCTGAATAAATATGTTTTCCCATGAATGTAATACACTACAGAATACAGTAAAAGAATAGATGACCTCAGTGTACCCTCAAAATAAAAATGTAATTATTCTAATAAAGTATACGTTCAGACACATCTTCCTTGCAAGGGTGATTTCAAAACAACCAAAAAAATAGATGAATAGTACTGTGTACAAATATTCTGTAAATACAGGGCATTCGTAATTTTATGGCTATCTCTCGCCATACCTTACCTTTATTCATACCCTTTGTCAGCTTTCGCGATATGCAGCGTTTCTGTAAGGTGAAGATGAGAATCATCTCCCTTCACACTGAGTTATAGTCAAGACCTAGACCCTATATAATGTGAGGATCTAAAGAATCAATCTTCCAATTGCATTTTAAGCTGAATTTTTTTTTTTTTATTTTTTAAAAAAAGTCTTAATCTATCATCCTGACACGCATTCAGTGGAGCATTGCTCCTTTAGGCACAACACAGAACAGCTGACTGAGAATTAATCTGAGCGTGGCTTCCTATTGTATTTATTCATATATTGAGCTGTTGCTGATGTGCTCCTCAGCCCTGAACTTGAAGCCGTGCCACGGGCTCTGGCCACGGTTTGTGCCGGTGAGGGCTATGCGCGTGTGAGAGAGAGCCAACGAGGCAAGGAGGAAAGTTTATGGACAATTACGTCTGCCTCCCCGGGGTGCCGAGGGCACCAGGAACGCCTTTGGGAGAGAAACTCTGTCTCCTCCTCCCCACGAAGTTTGCAGGGGGGACATTTGCAGTGAGTCAACTTTGCGTAGCACCGTACGTGATGCCACGGAAAAGAGTTTCCTACCGCACTGGTGAACCTCGAAGGGCAGGCACTTGCTCGTGGGCTTTTGCTCCTCCGTTGCCAAGAGATGCATTGCACGATGGAGCACGGGGAGGTTGGGGCTCTCTGAAGACAGCCTTGCAGGCTGGCTCTGCTCTGACGTGCTCACCATATAAACACGCAGAGGATTAGAGAAAGGAATCATTATGCCAGCCTCATTTTTAAGAAGCAGGAATAAAAGCTTAGGAAATCATTGATCTGGCCAAAAGCACACAGGAAGTCTGAGAAAGACTAATCACTTAGTGCCAAGCTCCAGGCCAGGGGCTTAGCCATATTAAAAACAGCCACCAACCCCCCAAGACTCTTCTGCAACAGACCAAGTTAAAATGTCTATGCGACTTTCTTCCACGGTTAAAAGTAATCTTTTCTATTTTGGGGGTAGTGCTTGCGTTTGGATGAGCGCAAAGGGTGGTAAGAGGAAGGGAAACGGGTCCCGGGTGATGGGCTGAGGGCAAAGGGGGCACTGGGAAAGCAACAATTTTTACAGCGGCTCCTTTTGGACCATCCAGCGGTGCCCACACTGCCGGTGATACCACCAGAAAGCCCCGGTGGAATGATGTTCCTACCTCAAACCGCGGCTTGGCTGCTGTTGTGTGCTTTTCATATTTATAGAATACCTGTCAGCTCCAGCCCCCAAAATAAGTTCTAATATGGCATATCAGGGGTGGAAATAATAGTTGCTTACATAATTGCAATGTTACTGACACAGCTGATGAGCTGATGATGTTATTTGCACAGCAGTGATGGCATTCAAACCCTCGCCGACTTACAATTACACTGTATGCTCTGAGCCCTAACATGATTTAAATTACCATGTGAACACAATGAAAATACTGTCTCTTGACAAGATAAAGGGGGGGGGGGGCAGCAATGGCTTAAAAATCTCTTTTCGGTGGCTGCAGTGTTCAGTAGTGCTTATTCATGGCTTTTTAGCTTGCACATTTCATTTTAAGAAAGTGAATTGGAAGCATTACGTTCTGCCTTTTTGCCTTGATTTAAAACCTCCCTGTGCCTTCTCTTCTGCTGGCTGGCTGCGGTGAGCCACCTTCGGGGCTTTCACTGGGAAATGCAAATTTTTTAAATCAATAGCTTCACTTTCTTTTTTCCGCTCTTTTTCTTCCCCCCCTCCCCCCAATAACTGTTAAAAGAAGAATCCGTGTGGATGGGAGTAGGTAGGAGGACATAGTTTGTAGCCAGCCCAAAAGTGATGCGTGTTAAAGCCATAGCTGTTGTAGGAATGTGGATTTTGGAAAAGACTTGTGACTTATTCCCAAGCAGAGCGATAACTGGCCACAGACTGATGTTGAGACCGCATCCCAGGCTTATACAGCTGAACGCTGCAGCCACTATAAAGGCTAAAGCAGCGCTGAAGCCCAAGAGAAGAGCTCTGCAGGACTTGGTTCACGGTGGAGCATTCGCTACTGGTGTTGCCAGTGGTTCACATGGGGCTCGTTTTGGGTCTGATCCCAACCCACAAAGAGATCATCATTGTTGGGTCAGTCCTTTGCACTGTTTGTACATGGATTATGTTTCCCCACCTCTCATTCCCTGGTCCACATAGTGTCCACGTGTGCCAAAGTCTGGGCTTGGGAGCACCCCATCTGCAGGGGCTGTGCTTGGCTCTTGGTAGCTGAACTTGCTGTTTGACATCCTTGGACTGAAGTCCCTTAAATACTCTCCTGAACACATGAAACCAGCTTCTCCCACCTACCCAGTTACATAGTGTCTTTATGGTCTTTTTCTCAAGTACCTGGTGACCTGAGAACTTATGTAGACAAATTGGACTTCAACCTATTTTTAATCCTCCGCTGCTATGACATCTTCCTTTCAAGATTTCCTGAGTATTTGTCCCCCCCAGTTACTCCCAGCAGTGCAATGGCAGCATTTCTACTTCAGATCAATGTCTACAGCCCTGGCCCAGCTAGAGGCTCCTCGGTGCACGACTGCCCATCTATTCAAGTTCCTCCCGTTTCTTCCTCATTAGCTCCTGATTTCAGGCTGTTCCTGACCCTATTTCTTTCACTGGATTTTTTTCTCGGTCTTCTTTCTGGCCCCTGTGATTAGCTGGAGGGAGCAGGAAAAAAAAGGAAAGGACAGAATAAAGATCAAATGGAAAGAGGGAAGAAATAGAAACAAAAGATGCCTTTAAAGCAAATTACATGCTCTGTTCACAGCACATCCATGTGAGACCTATAGGTGCTCTGGGATCCAGCTAAGCAGAGAAGTGTAGGGGTCTGTCGACAGAAATTTGAAAATGAACCAGGTAATCAGTAGAGATTATTTTGTGCTTTTTACTTTAGTATTGCATTTGCTTTAAATTGCCCTAAAACTCTCCTTTCTGCTCCAAATTCTTGCATTCATAATACCTTGTGGAAGATATCAACGGTGGAAATTGTTGATTTGGGGAGAGGCAGAACAAAACCCAAGGGTTTTAACACTGAGAAAACACATGCCGTTCTACAAGAATATAGACATACAGTGTTGGCGTTTCAACTGTCCACCTTCAGTTTTATACCCATGAGCCCGCAGAGGTACCTGGGGAATCAAAGCAACAGGAAACGCTGGGTCTGCACGCCTAACGCTTAGGGGAATCACATTAGGAGAGAGAAACCTCTAGGCTCGTGGATGAATAAGAACGTGAAATGGGACCAGCACAGCAAACTTATTTGGCCAACACGAAGGAAATGACGCTATTTTTTAAGCCAGAGGAATGAATAGACTGGACAAAACCTCCATGTGTGCCCTCAGACCGAGGAGCTGCACAGCCTTTGTTGTGTTGTGGAGACACCAGCACAGAGCTGCAGCACCCACAGGCTATGTCTCAAAACTATTTCTGTTCTTTTATTCTCAGGGAAAATCAGCTGAAGGAGCGAGGTTGTGTCTGCCTTTCCTCAGTGCCACACATTGAGGCATTTTTATTCTGACACGGAGTGAGAAGGTGAAAAGCATAATTAGTGCCTCAGAAGTACCTGGATGGACTATAAGTCAATTAGTCTGCTCTGAATTCTAGTTCTGACTTTGCTGGGAGAAGAAAATGATCTGCGGTCCGTGTGGATGCTAAGGTGATCAGCTCGTTCTTAGCTGAAATGGTTTTACATCATTCTCTAAGGTTGGGCAGAGTCTGTAACTACCTATGCTTTGGGTACCTTCATCTAACGCAATGAAAACACAGAGCTCGTTGGGTAAGAGGCAACGCAACAGGATTTGCTGGAGGGATGAACCGCAGAGGGTCTAAGCAGGTGAGGCCATGTACGGTTTCCCTTTGCCTTAGGATTTGATTCAGACCTACAGCAGTTTTTGAAGCGACATTACATGGCTCCACACAAAGTTAAGGAACAATACAGGCCTCATTTGGAGCATATAAAAATATTTCTGACCCTGCTTTTTTGTACGTGTTGTCCAGTGACGGATAAAGGGGAGAGCCTCGCTGCTGTGAGCTCTCGGTCCTGCTCTCCGGATGCCATCCTGATTGATGCACTCGCGGCGTGGAGGGATATATAAGCAGCACTCGCCGGCTGCAGCTGAATTACAATCACGGACAGATTTCAGCATAAGGGACCTCTGGAGGTCATCTAGACCAACCTCCTCCTCAAAGCAGGGCTTTATGGGAAGTTCACGTCTCCTTTTCTGAAGCACGTACTGCATTTCTGGTAATGCCCTATCAGTCA